AATTCATTTTTGTTAGTTTTGGCCCAGCTCTCTAATCTGTTAAAGTCATTTTGAATTCTGATCCTGTCCTCTGGAGTATTAACTATCCCTCCCAGTCAGGTATCATCTACAAACTTGATAAGCATATCCCCTAAGCCAGTGGTTCTCAACCTGTGCGTCCCAAGGTGTTTTGTCCTACAACTCCCAGAAATCCCAGCCAGTTTACCATCTGTTAGGATTTCTGGGAGTTGAAGGCCAAAACATCTGGGGAAACCACTGCTCTAAGCCTTCATCCAAGTCATCAATAAAGATGTTGAACAGCACTGGGTCTAGGACACAACCCTACGACACCCCACTTGTCACTTAACACTACTGAGAGACCATTAGGTTTTAGAGACAACACTTCCATTGAGGATAGTATCTGACCTTGTACAGAAGTACAGTCAGTCTGATAACTAAAAACCAAGGCAGAAGTGAGATGGACTATTCAAAGTTGCTCAAGAAAAAAGTGTAAACTGAAAACAGGATCAGAGATGCTTGAAGTGTTTCAGTTTTTCCATGTGGCAAAAAACAAACAAAATTTAATGGAACTCATATGTGGGTGTAACACCTTTCAGTTGTGCGCATTTTGGGTGTCAGGAAGTATTTATCCTAGGTGGCCACTTCCAGACAATTATTCACATATGAATATTGGAAGCTGTGGAACTTTGCTTATAGTTTCTGTGGTTTGCTGTAAAATAGTCTCCATTTTATTAACAGTTCATTAAATTGTATTACATATTGCTGAGTGCTTTGCTCTCCCATTTGCACACCATGTATTCTTGCATTTTGTTCCCATCGTTTGCCTATATTTTCCCCCAACAAGGCCCCTTTCACCCTGCACAGAAATTATTCTCTCTTCCTTGACATATAATCCCTACATTTGGACAGACGTAGGAAATGTATATGGCATCCATAAATGTCACTGTGAATCAAAATATTTTAATATCCCTATATTTAAACCCACAGAAGACAAGAAAAATAAATCTTGCCCAGCAAACAGTCCTTCCCACTGCCCCCCTGCCCCCTCTGCATGAATATAACACAAACTTAACATTACTGTAATTTAGCGACACAATAAATCATACACAGAAAACACTGCTATTATATTTTACCAGTCTATGTGTTCCCATTTAACAAACTTCTTGCAGGGTTCAACTGTGGGCAAAACACTAGATTAAAAAAGAAAGAGGGAAGAGAGGACTAAAGGGACAAAATAGTGACTATGGCAAAGAGACCAAGAGAAGTAACAGAGATGCCACACAGTTGATCCACTAGAAACAATCCCAGTGACTGTTTTGCATCACTAAAGAGATCAGGGAAAATACACAGACCAGTTAGATATGATCTCACTAACATTCCTAGCGAATATACAGTGGAAGTGAAGAACAGATTTGAAGGACTGGATTTAGTAAACAGAGTCCCAGAAGAACTATGGACAGAAGTCCGAGACATTGTTCAGGAGGCGGCAACAAAGTACGTCCCAAAGAAAAAGAAAACCAAGAAGGCAAAATGGTTGTCTGCTGAGACACTGGAAGTAGCCCAAGAAAGGAAGAAAGCAAAAGGAAACAGGGATAAGGGGAGATATGCCCAGTTAAATGCGCAATTCCAGAGGTTAGCCAGAAGAGATAAGGAACTATTTTTAAATAAGCAATGCATGGAAGTGGAAGAAGACAACAGAATAGGAAGACAAGAGACCTCTTCCAGAAAATTAGAAACATTGGAGGTAAATTTCAGGCAAAAATTGGTATGATAAGAAACAAAGATGGCAGGGACCTAACAGAAGCTGAAGAGATCAAGAGACGGTGGCGAGACTATACAGAAGATCTGTATAGGAAGGATAATAATATTGAGGATAGTTTTGACGGTGTGGTGAATGAATTAGAACCAGACATCCTGAGGAGTGAGGTTGAATGGGCCTTAAGAAGCATTGCTAACAACAAGGCAGCAGGAGATGATGGGATCCCAGCTGAACTGTTTAAAATCTTAAAAGATGATGCTGTCAAGGTAATGCATGCCATTTGCCAGCAAATATGGAAAACACAAGAATGGCCATCAGACTGGAAAAAATCAACTTATATCCCCATACCAAAAAGGGAAATGCGAAAGACTGCTCAAACTTCCGTACAGTGGCCCTTATTTCTCATGCCAGTAAGGTAATGCTCAAGATCCTGCAAGGAAGACTCCAGCAATACATGGAGCGAGAGTTGCCAGATGTTCAAGCTGGGTTTAGAAAAGGCAGAGGAACGAGAGACCAGATTGCCAATATCCGCTGGATAATGGAGGAAAGCCGGGAGTTTCAGAAAAACATCTATTTCTGTTTCACGGACTATTCTAAAGCCTTTGACTGTGTGGATCATAATAATCTGTGGCAATTTCTTGGTGGAATGGGCATACCAAATCACCTTGTCTCTTTCCTGAGGAATCTGTACAAGGACCAAGGAGCAACAGTCAGAACTGATCACGGAACAGACTGGTTCAAGATTGGGAAAGGCGTACGGCAAGGCTGCATACTCTCACCCAACCTTTTTAACTTGTATGCAGAACACATCATGCGATGTGCGGGGCTGGATGAATGCAAAGCTGGGGTGAAAATTGCTGGAAGAAACATTAACAACCTCAGATATGCAGATGACACCACTCTTATGGCCGAAAGCGAGGAGGAGCTGAGGAGCCTTCTAATCAAGGTGAAAGAAGAAAGCGCAAAGGCCGGGTTGCAGCTAAACGTCAAAAAAACCAAGATTATGGCAACAAGAATGATTGACAACTGGAAATAGAGGGAGAAACCGTGGAGGCCGTGACAGACTTTGTATTTCTAGGTGCAAAGATTACTGCAGATGCAGACTGTAGCCAGGAAATCAGAAGACGCTTACTTCTTGGGAGGAGAGCAATGTCCAATCTCGATAAAATAGTAAAGAGTAGACATCAGAATGGCAACAAAGATCCGCCTAGTCAAAGCCATGGTATTCCCTGTAGTAACCTACGGATGTGAGAGCTGGACCTTAGGGAAGGCTGAGCGAAGGAAGATCGATGCTTTTGAGCTGTGGTGTTGGAGGAAAGTTCTGAGAGTGCCTTGGACTGCGAGAAGATCCAACCAGTCCATCCTCCAGGAAATAAAGCCCGACTGCTCACTGGAGGAAGGATACTAGAGACAAAGTTGAAGTACTTTGGCCACATCATGAGGAGACAGGAAAGCCTAGAGAAGACAATTATGCTGGGGGAAATACAAGGAAAGGAAGAGGGGCCGACCAAGGGCAAGATGGATGGATGGCATCCTTGAAGTGACTGGACTGACCTTGAAGGAGCTGGGGGTGGTGACGGCCGACAGGGAGCTCTGGCGTGGGCTGGTCCATGAGGTCACGAAGAGTCGGAGACGACTGAACGAATGAACAACAAAATCATTGTCATTGTCATTGTCATCATCATCATTTTGTAAACACAATGCCCCCGTTTCTAAATAATAGGAAAGACAGTCTTTTCCTAGAAAGGAACAAGTTGAACACAGAGTAGCACAAGTTTGCTTCCCCACCAATAGTTGCATGTAGCTGTTTTACATTAAACTCTGCAGTCACCCATAAATAAACTAGAACCATCAGTATTAAATCGTGTTCTGTTTAAAATGTTTCAATATAGTCAACCACCCATATTTGCTGGGATTAAGAACACAGGACCTCCCTGAAAGTGAAAAACCACACATTTTTTGCTATTTATTTTCACCTGAGTGAACACCTCACTAGGAATCTCTAGGTCAGTGGTTCTCAACCTGGGGTCCCCAGATGTTTTTGGCCTTCAACTCCCAGAAATCCTAACAGCTGGTAAACTGGCTAAGATTTCTGAAAGTTGTAGGCCAAAAACATCTGGGGACCCCAGGTTGAGAACCATTGCTCTAGGTCAGCATTTCTCAACCTGGGGGTCGGGACCCCTGGAGGGGCCACGAGGGGGTGTTGGAGGGGTCACCAAAGACAACCAGAAAACACAGTATTTTCTGTTGATCATGGGGGTTCTGTGTGGGAAGTTTGGCCCAATTCTATCATTGGTGGGGTTCAGAATGCTGTTTGATAGTAGGTGAACTATAAATCCCAGCAACTACATCTCTCAAATGCCAAGGTCTGTTTTCCCCAAACTCCACCAGTGTTCACATTTGGGCATATTTGGTATTCATGCCAGGTTTGGTCTATATCCATCATTGTTTGAGTCCACTTGTGGATGTAGGTGAACTACAACTCCAAACCTCAAAGTCAGTGCCTACCAAACCCTTCCAATATTTTCTGTTGTTCATGGGAGTTCTGTGTGGCAAGTTTGGTTCCATTCCATCGTTGGTGGAGTTCAGAATGCTCTTTGATGATAGGTGAACTATAAATCCCAGCAACTACAACTCCCAAATGACAAAATCAACCCCACCCCACCAGTTTTCAAATTGGGGCGTATCGGGTATTTGTGTCAAATTTGGTCCAGTGAATGAAAATACATCCAGCATACCAGATATTTACATGACAGTAGCAAAACTACAGTTATGAAGTAGCAACAAAAATGATGTTATGGTTGGGGGTCACCATCACATGAGGAACTCTATTAAGGGGTTGTGGCATTAGGAAGGTTGAGAAACACTGCTCTAGGTGCTCTCTATTGTAACTTTCTGCAGAGGCTGGCCATAGAATAGCACTAGAGGACCTAAAGATCCCTAGAGAAGCATTTTAATTAAATCCACAAATAATCAAATTCTCAAAAGTGAAACCTGCAAATGTAAAGGGGTTACTGTATGTTATTCCTTCAAACTTCAGACTTTATGGCAAAGTATCATACTATAACTTGAAGCCCAAGAAAAGGAGGTATGTTATTGTGTACATTTTCAAGAGGTGATCATGAAAACTAAAAACCCACACTGCTAAAGTTTCCACTTTTTAAAATAAATTTGATCTCCTGCTTGTAACAGCTGAAGATAGTATTGATAGGTACTTATCCATTTTTTTCTCTTTATCTAGTGATCGTCCAAGTGCTGGAACTGCAGAACGCATCCAGAAATTACGGAAAGAATACCATCAAGCAAGACGAGAAGGCCTACCTTTCTATGATGAAAATGACAGCCGAGGAAGGCCATCTGATCAGCACTGGGTAGGTGTTCATCCAATGTCTAATAAATATTCATCAAGCATTAAAACAACCAGAATGGTTTGAGGGTTGTATTACAACTCTGGAGGTTAGGATGTCAGTCCCTGCTCAGACATGGAAACCCTCTGGGTCTCTTTGGACAAGTTACATTTTTTTCAACTTCAGAGTAAGACAATGCAAAACAGCATAGGGAGGGCGCACAATTTTGTCCTTTGCCTCAGGTAGCAAAATTTCTTGAATGGCTCTGCAGCTGTACCATAGTCTTCACCCCTGATGGGCCACTTATATAAGAGGTGAGCCCATGTTTGACCAGTATATAATAGAGGTGTGCAATTCACCCAAAAAAGCATGCCATTTTGGGGTCCATTTTGGTTAACCCCTAATTCTGTTTACTGGGAAGTTATTCAAATCAGGAGGCGTGTTGCTGTTTTCATTCAGCAAAGATTCGGCCCATTGGCTACAATGGGAAACCTTAAAGGCTCAATCCTCAGTCATTTTAAGGCCTATCTTCACAATTCACCAATTGTGGCTGAGTGTCAGCTGCATTAAGATCACTCTGACCAAAAGGTCATGAGTTCGAAGCCAGCCCTGGTTGGAGTGGTTTTCCAACCAATTGTGTGTAGCCTGTTGTCGACCTTTGCAACCCAAAAGACAGTTGCATCTGTCAGGTAGGAAAATAAGGTACCACCTTAAAGTGTGGGGAGGCTAAATTAACTGATTTATGAGGCCATAAAGAAGACGCCAGCAAAGCATTCCAGCGGGGAAGCATGCGGGAATGCGGAAGTGCTTCATCAGCGTCGCAGATGGACGATTAAAGTGACAGCTTCCCTGGCGGCCAGAAAAAGTTAAATAGCCTCTGTGTATGTCTGTATATGTTGTATGTTAAAATTGGCATTGAATGTTTGCCATATATGTGTACACTGTAATCCACCCTGAGTCCCCTGCGGGGTGAGAAGGGCGGAATATAAAAGCTGTAAATAAATAAATAAAATAAATAACATTTTAAAAAATAAGACACACCGCAAGAGAGGGTTCTGGGAATTGTAGTTCCCAGTTGTTTCCATTCTCAGCCAGTCAGAGCATGGGCACAGCTGAGAAACAGAGAGAGAGAGAAACTTCAACTCCCATCATGCTCAGAGAGGAACTGAGAGGCTTTTCAATGCCCCTCCCATGCAAGTGCTGCTGGGAAAGCGACTTCCCAGCAGGACCCTCTCTGGAGGAGGAGCCTAGGGATCTTTTCCTAAAGATGGATGCTGATGCTGCCAAAGGGGGAGAAAAGGCACTGTAGGATCTTCTCCAGGAGCCCTGCAGCAAAGCCCTGCCTCAGGTACAATGCAGACCTAACTCCATTCTCTCCAGTAGCCAATAAATCCTGCTCTCTTGATCCGTTTTGTCGACCTTTTCGGTTTCCTCCTCGTCGTTTTGAAATTTGCAGTCTTGTTTAGTCACTTTAATGTGCTACTTTTATCTGTGGATTTTCTGACACCTTTCTACAACATACTTTTCCTTCTTAATCTGAAAAGTTTTCAAATATCTTTGTTTTCTAGGTTATAGTGGCTAGTTTAGATTATTGAAGTCTAGCTGTCAGAAAGGAAGTCTAATTGAACATATTGTTATTTATTTGAGAATGAAACTGGATTGCTAATTGTTCACTGCTACAACTAACCTTGTCTGCTCAGTGCTTATCCAATTCTGACTTCCCTGGACCAAAGCTTTAAAGTAATGCAAAAATCTAAGCTGTTAACAACAAAGGAAGCCAGGCTACATCTTCTGAGACATTGCTGCTAAGTCTACCATAAAGTCTACCATAGAAAATACAAAAGGCTTTCAGGACCTGGATTGTTTATGGACAATGTCCTCTCTTGGTGCATTTTACAAGTTGGTTCCAATAAAGCTATGGCTGCTGGAACTCCCTCCCAATAAATCAATTTAACGTACCCTTTCATTAAGTCAGCCTGATTTGGCCAACAAAACTATAGTGCTTAAGAGAAAGAGAGAAAGAGACAGAAACTATTCTCCGAGCCATGTTTTTAAATAACATACTTATTCTCCCAAGGTAAATGTTTAAAGAATAATTGATATCTTGGCAAATAATCCAGACCTGGTCAATGAAGCTTTGGGAGGGTTGGATGAGGATTCCCATTTCTTATCAAACCTTGAAGGGCTTTATTACCATGCTGACTATGGCCCCATATAGTCTCCAAAGCATCACAAAAGTCCCTTCTGGGTAATCCCCCTTAAGCCGTTTCTATTAGGTGTAATACCCTAAGATTACTGATTCCCAAGGCTACATGTTTTCTGTGAGAGAAGGGTTGTTAATCAAAGCACCCAAGATAGCTTTAAAGCTCTCAGTCTCTCTGATTAATATCAGAAGCCTCGAGATTGTTTCCATTTCGCAGTCAAATGCCTTTGCACTAACACTAATGTTATGGCTTTAATGCAGAAAATCCGGGAGGTAAGGAGGGGACTGGCAAATTCTTTTAGACTTTTATTCAGGTGCTTCTTGAGCCTCCATCGTCAGGACTCAAGTTCTCTTACCCCACACTGCTGTTTGATTTGTGATACGAAACATGTCAAACCATAACAAGGAGCAATATAACATGCCCTTCAGTAAACATACCCTGAAAAGAGAGAGCTTAACTTGGCTCCATTCTTGTAGTTTTTGCCTGTTGATTATCTCAAAAGGTTGCCTGTCACCCAGGGAGATCACTTAGGACTGGAGGCTCTTTTAGAACATGTTCTCAGTAGAGAATCAGAAAAATAGAATGACTTCCAATTGGTGAGTAGTGGTTCTCAACCTGTGGGTCCCCAGTGTTTTGACCTACAACTCCCAGAAATCCCAGCCAGTTTACCAGCTGTTAGGATTTCTGGGAGTTGAAGGCCAAAACATCTGGGGACCCACAGGTTGAGGACCACTGGGTGATAGGATTTATTTATTATTTATTTTAGATATTTGTACCCCACCCTTCTCAATCCTCGGGGGGGAGGGGGGCTCAGGGTGGCACAACCACATTTTATCACCCTGTCTGTTTAACGTGTACACAGAACATATATATAAAGCAGAATCAGACACAGAGGAAGGAACTTTTTAAGTTTAAGATATACAGATAACATGATACTACTTGATGAGAACAGAAATGATTTGTAACAATAACTGAAGAAAGTCAAGGAAGAAAAGGCAAAGGCAGGTTTACAGATGAACATAAAGGAAACAAACATAAAGACAACAGATGATTTATATAACTTCAGAGTCGATTATGAAGACAATAAAAGTTTGCATATGAAACAAAACTGATATAGGTAGCAAACACGATATAAAATAGAAACAGATTTCTAAAAAACCTACATAAACTAGAAAATTGGGCAGAAAATAATAAAATGATATTCAATAGAGACATATGCAAAATTCTACAAACAAAATGCACAAGTATAGGATTGGAGAAACATGGCTCAGCGATATTCCTTGCTAAAAAAAGTCCTATTTGGGATTATTGTTGATTATTACCTAATTCAAAGTGCTGGCTTTAGCCTTTAAAGCCCTAAACGGTTCTGGTCCAACCTATCTGTCCGAACGCATCTCCTCCTATGAACCAGTTAGGACGTTAAGATCGTCTGGGGAGGCCCTGCTCTCGGTCCCGCCAGCTTCACAAGCACGCCTTGCGGGGCATGATTGCACTCTTCATATACCTCAAGGGCTGTCACAGAAAGAAGAGGGCGTGTTTGTTCCCTGCTGCTTGAGATTTAGGATGAGTGGATTTCAGTTACAGAAGGGTTGGAGGAATGGCTTAACAGTGGAAGTAATTTAGCAGTGGACTGCTTAGAGAGGGGGCAAGATCTTTTCTCTGAAGGTATTTAAAAGAAGTCTGGATTGTTACTTGCTGGTGATGTTCTAACTGGAGATCCTGCATTCAGTGGGAAGTGAAAGAGTTGGACTCAGTGGCCCATGAAGCCCCTTCTAACTCTATAATACTATGACTCTATAACTGTAAATCTGCACACTTTGGCTCTGTCATTAATCAGAACGGAGACTGCAGAAATCAAAAGACGAGGACTTGAAAGGACAATACCAAAGGAACTAGGATAAATCCTGAAGTGTGAAGATATTTATTATTATTTATTTATTTAATGCATTTCTATCCCACCCTTCTCCCCCCAAAGGGGGACTCACTGCAGCCTCACACACAAGCATCATGTGATGCTATCAAAATATAAACAAAAAAATCACAATTAAAACAGTCAAAATCATTAAAACACATTATACACATTCATAAAACAAGTTCATTTAACAATAAATTAACATGCCAATTAAAACCAAGACCAAGTCAGGGTAAATCCAATGTCGCAGATGTCCTAAATTTTCTTTCCAATTGCCGCTGTCCTTTAATCGAACGTCTGGTCCCAAAGCCAAGTCTTCAGTTGTCTTCTAAAGGACAGGAGGGAGATGACCAACCTGATGTCCTTAGGGAGGGAGTTCCATAGGCGGGGGGCCACTGCCGAGAAGGCCCTGTCTCTCGTCCTCACCAACTGCGTATATCATTGGATACTAATGTTAGGATTGTCAGTACCATCTTATTTCCCATTTCTATGCATGATTGCAAAAAATAGACAGTGAAGAAAGCTTATAGAAAGGATATCAACTCATTTGAGATGCAGTGCTGGAGAAGAGTTCTATGGATACCATGGACTTCTAAAAAGACAAATGAACTAATCCTAGAGCAAATTCAATCTGATTTGTCCCTAGAAGCCAAGATGACTCAACAAAGATTGTTGCACTTTGGAAATAAGAAAAGAAGATATGCATCACTAGAAAAGATAAAAGTGCTTGGTGAGATAGAAGACAGTAGAAAAAGAGAAAGATCCCATTTACAAGTGGATGTATTCAGCCAAGGAAGGCATTGTCAGTTCTGCAAGACCGGAGCAGCTTTTGATGACAAGGTGGCTTGAAGGTCTCTCATTCACAGGGTTCCTCTCATAAGTTGACTTGACAGTAGTTAATAACAGGA